TTCAGGTTTGGTAGTTCGTATGTTTCTGGGAATTTATCCATTTCTTCCAGGTTGTCCAGTTTGTTGGCCTATAGTTTTTCACAATATTCTCTTATACTTTTTTTGTATTTCTTTGGTGTTGGTTGTTATTTCCCCCCTCTCATTTGTGATTTTATTTAATTGGATCCTTTCTCTTTTATTTTTGGTAAGTCTGGCAGGGGGTTTATCAATTTTAGTAATTATTTCAGAGAACTACATCCTGGTTTCATTGATCTGTTCTGTTGTTTTTTTAGTTTCTATGTCATTTATTTCTGCTCTAATCTTTTTATTTCCCTTTGCCTGCTGGATTTAGGCTTTATTTGCTGTTCCTTTTCTAGCTCCGTTAGGTCTAAGATTAGGTTGTGTATTTGAGATTTTTCTTGCTTCTCGAGGAAGGCCTCTATCACTATATACTTACCTTTGCTACATCCCAAAGGTTTTGGACTGTCGTGTTTTTATTTTCTTTTGCTTCCATGTATTTTTTAAAATTTCTTCTTTAATTTCCTGGTTAACCCATTCATTCTTTAGTAAGATGTTCTTTAACCTCCGTGTATTTGTGGTCTTCCCAATTTTTTCTTGTGGTTGACTTCAAGTTTCATAGTATTGTGGTCTGAAAATATGCATGGTATGATCTCAATTTTTTGTATTTGTTGAGGGCTGATTTGTGACCCAGTATGTGATCTATTCTGGAGAATGTTCCATGTGCACTCAAGAAGAATGTGTATTCTGCTGCTTTAGGATGAAATGTTCTGAATATATCTGTTAAATCCATCTGGTTCAGTGTGTCATTCAAAGCCATTGTTTCTTTGTTGATCTGCTTAGATGATTCGTCCATTGATTTAAGTGGGGTGTTAAAGTCCTCTACTATTATTGTATTGTTATCAATGAGTTTCTTTATGTCTGTTGTTAATTGATATATATATATATTTGGGGTTCCCAAGTTGGGGGCATATTTACAATTGTTAGATCTTCTTGATGGATAGAACCTTTAATTATGATATAGTGCCCTTATTCATCTCTTGTTACAGTCTTTGTTTTAAACTCTAGTTTGTCTGATATAAGTATGGCTACTCTGGCTTTCTTTTGATGCTCATAAGCATGATAGATGGTTCTCCAACCCCTCGGTTTGAATCTGCAGGTGTCTTTACGTCTAAAATGAGTCTCTTATAGACAGTATATAGATGAATCTTGTTTTCTTATCCATTCTGATACCCCGCTTCTCTTTATTGGAGCATTTAGTCCATTTATGTTCAGAGTGATTATTGGGAGATATGCAGTTAATGCCATTGTGTTACCTGTAAAGTCATTGTTTTTTGGAGATTTTCTCTTTTCCTTTCTAGTCTTTGTTGTTTTCGGTCTTTTTTTCCCACTGTTGTTTTTGGTCTTTCTTCCCCGCTCAAAAGAGTCCACTTTTATATTTCTTGCAGGGCTGGTTTATTGTTCACGAACTCCTTTAGTTTTTGTTTGTCTGGGAAACTCTTTATCTCTCCTTCTGTCCTGAATGACAGCCTTGCTGGATAAAGTGTTCTTGGCTGCATATTTTTCCCATTCAGCATGCTGAATGTATCATGCCACTCTCTTCTGGCCTGCCTAGTTTCTGTGGATAGATCTGCTGCTAACTGTATTTGTCTTCCCTTGCTGCTTTTAGGATTTTTTCCTTATCTCTGTATTTTGAAAATTTTACTGTGATATATCTTAGAGTTGGCCTGCTTTTGTTGATTTTGATGGGAGTTATCTGTGCCTCCTGGATTGAGTGTTTCTTTCCACAGATTAGGGAAGTTTTCAGCTATAATTTGCTCAAATAAACCTTGTGTCCCTTTTCCCACTCTTCTTCTGTGACTTCTATGATATGAATGATATTGCCCTTTATGGAGTTGCTGAGTTCCCTAATTCTACACTTGTGATCCAATATTTTTCTTTCCCTCTTCTTTTCAGCTTCATTATTTTCCATAATTTTGTCTTTTATGTCACCTCTTCTCTCCTCTGCTTCTTCCATCCTTGTGGTCATTACATCCAGTCAGTTTCGCATCTCAGTTACAGCATTTTTTATTTTAGCCTGACTGGTTTTTAGGTCTTTTATCTCTGTGGTAAGGGACTCCCTGATACCTTCTATGCTTTTCTCAAGCCCAGCTAGTGTCCTTATGATTGTTGTTTCAATTCTGGAACAGGCATATTGTTTATATCTGTTTTGTTTTTTTTTTTTAAGATTTTATTTATTTATTTGAGACAGAGAGAATGAGAGACAGAGAGCATGAGAGGGAGGAGGGTCAGAGGGAGAAGCAGACTCCCTGCCGAGCAGGGAGCCCGATGTGGGACTCGATCCCGGTACTCCAGGATCATGACCTGAGCCAAAGGCAGTCGCTTAACCAACTGAGCCACCCAGGCGCCCTATATCTGTTTTGATTAGGTCCCTGGCGTGTCCTTTTCTTGTTCTTCCTTTTGGCATGATATCCTCTGTGTTGACATTTTGGCTAGGTCTGTATCCTCTTTGTGTTAGGAAAGCCTGTTACGTTTCCTGCTCCTGAGAGTAATGGCTTATTAAGAAGAGGTCATATACTGTCCAGGGCCTGGTGCTTCGGGATGTATGTCTGGTCTGTGCTACGTGTACCCTGCTGCTGTGTTTTGGGGGCTCTTTCCCTCAGGTCAGCCCTCTGCTGAGTTTTTCCTTGCTTGCACTAAGGAGTGTTTGGACCTTGTCCAGTGTGTGATGAGTTTTAACTAGATATGCTTTCATCTGCTTGTTAAAAAAGGCCGGATCCTATTTCCACTAGAGCTGTAACTTTGTAGCACTCTATCATCAGTAGACTTGGTGCTTGCGGGGGATTTGTGCTTGTTTTCTGGGGGAGAGGCCTGCTGCCCTGGCTCTTAGGCATACTTGCCCTAGCATAGAAGCACCTGCAGAGTGCAGGGGGTGGGGTTTGGGGTAAGTGGCTCCAGCCTCCCCTGGACGGGTGTGGGGAGGGGGCACTCACTCTGCTGCTCACTGAAATCCAGTGGTGCTGTTGGGTGGAGGAAGAAAATGGCATCCACCCTCTCCCTGGGCCCCCACCCAAAAGGAAGAACAAGAAAAGGACACGCCAGGGACCTAATCAAATTAGGTCCCTGAATTTGTGCCCCCACTGTCCAGGAAACCCTCACAGAAGAGTGAAGAATCTTCCTTGTGTGCCAGGTATCCCTCGGATCTCTGCCTTCACCGTGTCTGCGACTGAGCTGTCTGCCCACCTGGTGGCACAGTGCTTCTATATTTTATCTCTGGCACCTGGCAGAGTTTCAAAACTCCAAATTTTAGGGACTCGGCGCTGCTGGACCCACGATGATCCTCTGGAGGAGGGTCTTGGGGCGCTGGGGCTGGTAGGAGTTTGCCCCAGAGGGCAGTTGCAGGAATGCACAGGTGCTTGGAGTTCAGAGTAAAGCACAGCAAAAAGCTGGTGTCCAGGTTGGCTGCTCTCAGCAGGTGCCTCTGCCCCTGTGCTGATGAACAGGACAGTGCCGTGGTGCCCGCCAGCTCTTTTGTCCCCGTGAGGCAGTACCACTTCTCCCAAATACACTCCAGGAGGGGGAGCTGTCTCTCCAGTGCGATGCAGGGGATCCTCAGACCACGCTGTCCACTCCCAGGCCTCTGCCCTCCTTCTCCACAGGAGCCCCACTGTGCCCACTGGGCTCCACACTGGCTGCAGTGCGGACTTCTAAAACTTCAGTCTTTGAGCTCTGTTGATTGTAAAAACTCACAATAAGCAGGCTCGCTCATTTTCCCAGTCAGTGGCTTTGGGGAAGTGTTCTTCTTATTCAATCCCCTGTGCGCTCTTTGCTCTCTCTGTGATCAGGGCTCCCTCCCCTCTGCGGCACCCGGGATTCTCTTCTCCCCCAAATCACATCTCCGCACCTCCTACCTTCCACAATGTGGCCTCTTTTCTCCCTCTACTTCGGCAGTTTGCTCTCTCAGCCCTCAGATCGATTTCCTGGGTGTTCAGAATGAGTTGATATTTATCTAGCTGTGTTTGAGGGACAAGGCAAGCATAGGGTCCCCTTACTCCTCTGCCATCCTAACTCCTCCCCATTTCATTTTTATTTAATTCATCATCTGGTTGAGGCACATTACTGCTGCTGTCTCCATTTTACCATGAAGAAATCCCCTTAGGGGCCCCGGTTTGTGTCCCGACAGCCTGGCTGAGGAGGAAGGATCTCAGATGCTTGGTTGGTGTCAGAGCCTGAACCAGAGTTTGGATCTTGGTTGTATGGAGTGTGTGGGATAGTGTGAAAGGGTGCACAGAATACACGTGCCCCATACACATACCTTACTACATGTAAAGCCTGTGTTCCTCCCATAGCTTCATTATCCTATTCCTACTAACACCTGTATAACATTCATCACTGTTCAGAACCGACATCTTTACCCCAGAAGGATGAAGTGACCATATTATTTCCTGATCCAGGACCTCATCAGCAGTGAGTTCACCACAGGACGTCCTGAACGAGTGTCTGCAAGGAGTGTTCTGAAAACATAATTATATTAAGTCCTCTAGAAGAGAATAAAAAAAATGCAAAATCTTTGTAGATGAAAACTGATGAGTGATGTAGTGTCTCCACGTGCTCAGACCTGAAGGCAGGACCTAACTCCGACACATTCTTTGTCTCAGGTACTAGAGGGAGGCTCCTATGTTGGTTGAGGAAGATTTATTCATCTGGCGTCTCCAAGACTAGTCAGAAACCCATATGAGATACAACTCCATCATGTGGCTGTATTACTAGCTAAAACTAAAATAAACCAACAGCAACACATTAACAAAAAAACCCTCGGATACTCTGTTCTTTTCTCAACCTCATCCTCAAATTTCTATTTACACATCTTCTGAGTTTTTCTGAGAAATGTACCATGGGCAGACTAAATGGACCATTGCCTTAAGACTTGGCATCTTCTTGCAACATGATTTTTTTTTGCAACATTTTCCTTATTTTATTTCTCATATTTCTCCCTTTTGTAGATTGACTGTTACAGACTCGGATGGAGCCTCTAACTCCACAACTGCAGCCCTAATAGTCAACAGTGCTGTGGACCATCCTCCAGTCGCCAATGCAGGACCAAATCAGACCATAACTTTGCCCCAAAACTCCATCACTTTGAATGGAAACCAGAGCAGTGATGATCACCAGATTGTCCTCTATGAGTGGTCCCTGGGTCCAGGGAGTGAGAGCAAAGAGGTGGCCATGCAGGCAAGTTCTCTATCCTGCCTTCAAACTTTTACTTGTCTGTCCATCCAACCACCCACCCACCTACCCATCTAACCAACCATCCATCCATCTATCTACCCACCCACCCATCCATCCATCTACCCATCCACCCACCCACCCACCCACCCACCTACCCATCTATCCAACCAACCACCCACACACCTACCCATCTGTCCAACCACCCACCTACCCATCTATCTAACCATCCATCCATTCATTCATCCACCCACCCACCCGTGCATCCATCTACCCATCCATCCATTCACCCACCCACCCATCCATCCATCTACCCATCCATCCACCCACCCATCCATTCATCTATTCACCTACCCACCTGTCCATCCATCTACCTGTCCACCTATCCACTCACGCATCCATCCATCTACCCATCCATCCATCCACCCACCCATCCATTCATCTATCCACCCACCCATCCATCCATCTACCCATCTACCCATCCATCCATCCATCTATATGTCTGTCCATTTAAAACTTCACACATCTATCTACCTTCCTACCTACCTAAATTATTGTTATGTGGTATAAATCCAGAAAATGTTTTATAAGATTGTCTGATGTATTACAACTATTAGAAGAGCACCTAAATTCATAGATTTTCCAAACTTACATCCTTTCCCCTCACCCGTTCTCTGTAAGCACAGAATAGAAACTAAGTGGGTCCTGTGTTGATAGCTTGACCTTGAGGCTAGTTTGGGGAAAGTATGACCCAACATTTGCTACAGAAATATTATTTTAATATTGGGAGAAACTTTAGAAATAATCCAACATGAACTTTGTTATCAGGAAATTTTTCCTTATTTTGTTTCTCATATTTTTAGAAACTTCATTGTCATCTTTTCTGGATCTAGTGGTCTCTTTTTAAGAGCTTTTTGTATCTAAATTTTAATTTGCTCAAATCTTAAATATATTTGTCTAAAGACATACTACCGTAGACACTTTTGCTGTGAGTGGTATGTATGCACATGAGTGTACGCTATTGCTTCTTCTTCTCTTGGTGCTGGCCAGAACTCTTTGTTTTTATTGCTAACCAGTTTGCTGTTTTTAAGTTATTATTTGACAGTTTTCATTTTATTCTTTTTTTGTTATTTTATGTATGTATGTATGTAAGCACGCCCTACGCCCAATGTGGGGCTTGAACTCACGACCCCAAAAGCAAGAGTTGCATACTCTATTGACTGAGCCAGTCAGACACCCCTTTCGTTTTTATTTTAATTCCAGTTAACACACCGTGTTGTTAGTTTCAGGTTATTATTTGAAAGTTTAATGGAAAAAAGGTAGGACCTTGTATTGCCACCTTGTACTTCTCCTTCAAATTCCATCTCATCTGTCCAACATAAATTTCTTGTTAGTATTTTAGATGAAGTCAGATATCCCATGAAAGCTTACCTACTTTACTTTCTGATGTTTCTGGACAGTATTTTGCAATTGTGATGAATTTAAAATGACTGGTTGGGTTTATGGGACTTGAGAGGGCCATGCCATAGTGTCCATCTCTGTCTAAGGGTTGTAGCACGTGCTGTTTGCTGCTGTTGTGCTAAGACTTTCGATTCAGAGGGCTTTGCCTGCAAAACAGAAAGATGGGACATTATTGTATTTCCTTGGTTAAAAAAATATTCCAGGGGTGCCTGACTGGCTCAGTCAGAAGAGCGTGCGACTCTTAATCTCAGGGTTGTGAGTTAGAGCCCCTCGTTGGATGTGGAGATTACTTACCAATAAAATTTTTTTAAAAAATCCAAATTTTCTTTCCTTTAGTTATTGAGAATTATGTGCCCAAAGCTCACACCCCAGAATTCATCCATATCTGCCCAACGTATGTCCAAGGGAATCAGCTAGTGCTGGGTGTGGGGCCAGCTTCTCCACACCTGCCCTTCTGCAGAGGACACTCTGAGATTATCCCTAGTAACAAGGTTATTGTCTTGTGATTGATAGATGAAGATGTTAAAAGGGGTGATCTTTTTATTAACTGGGCAATCACAAAGATGGCTCTGTCAGCTGGAGTCTTAGATTATTAGTCTAAACATCGTGTAGGGCATCCTGCCGAGGCTTTGCTTTAGATGGGGGAAGGCCATCTGAAGGCTCCAGGCTGTTACCTGGAGATTATAGTGGCTTTGAGGATGCTTGGTGACATGTGTGAGTCTGCCCACTTACCATTTGCCACAACATTCCCTGTACCGTGTGCATAAGCATTTATGTAACCATATTAATTTTGAAGTAAGCACTAGGAAATTATACTTTTGTACAGCTTTTCAGAGCAAAATGCTTTGCTTTATTTAGTCAAAGTAGGGGAAAACACCTTTTCTAAGTTCTTAAAAGTATGTATTTCAAATTTCACAAGTTCCCCTCGTGATAACACAATTGATTTTCTATCAGTTTTCTTTTTCAATTTTCCATTAAAACCTTTAATAGACACATGCAGATACATTTATCTTTAGACAATCTTGGGATCTATAAAAGTAAATAAATTATAATAGGGTTTAGGATTAAAAATCCTTTCCATGATGCCATGAATTTCAAACATAAGCAATAATTGGAAATGTTACCAACAGCAACACAATAGCAACAAAGTGAAAGTTGTTAACCTGGAGACAAGTACAGCTATTGTATACTCAATTGAAAAAATGTCTTATTGAAAAATTTTGTTGGGGTGCCTGGGTGGCTCAGTCATTAAGCGTCTGCCTTCGGCTCAGGTCATGATCGGGGGGTTCTGGGATCGAGCCCCACATCGGGCTCCCTGCTCTGCGGGAAGCCTGCTTCTTCCTCTCCTACTCCCTGGGACTGCTTGTATTCCCTCTCTCTCTGTGTCTCTATCAAATAAATAAATAAAATCTTAAAAAAAAAAAAAGAAAAATTTTGTTGTCTTAGAGTTTTAAAAAATTATTTTTACTTGTAAGAGTAATGCATGAATTGCTTCTTGTAGTTAAAAATAAGGTAACTTCTGATAAAGTACAAATACACCTTGATTGTACCCCAGTCCCCTTATGGTGATAATTTTATCAGCTTAATGTCTGTCCTTACAGAATCTTTTCTGTGTGTTCTGTGTATATGCATATGTACACATAGAAATATCTGTCACACTCTATACATTGTTCTGCAACTTTCTCTTTTTGCTTGATGGTATGTCTTTGACATCTTTCATTTCATTATTTATAAGCTACAGACATTTTTTTTTCCTTCAAGTAGGCTCCACGCCTAGCATGGAGTCCAACTCCATTTCAATATGTATAAATCTACCTTATTCTTTTAAACTTTAAATTTAAACTAACATTGTAGTGTATCATGGTGGGTCTGGCCACACCCCATTGATGAAAGTTTATTTAAAGATTGATTGATTGATTTTACAGAGAGAGTGCAAGTGGTGGGGAGAGAAAAAATCTCAAGCAGACTCCCCAGTGAGTGTGGAGTCCAGCACTCGATCTCATGACCTTGAGATCCTGACCCGAGCTGAAATCAAGAGTTGGCTGCTTAACTAACTGAGCCACCCAGGTGCCGCATTGTTGATGAACATTTAGACTGTTTCCATTGTTTGCTACTATAAACAATGCTTCTGTCAGCATCCAGGTGTGAGGCTCCTTGTGTGCATGGGCATTTCCCTAGTGTAGGTAGTAAGAAGTAGAATCACTGGTTGGAGTATGCTCATTTAACATGTCAGTGGATGTTGCCAGATGGGCCTCCAAAAAGGCCAAATTAATTTGTACTTCTTCAGCAGCGTGTGAGGATACACACTGAACTTCAGATTGCATTTCCTTGGGGCACACACATTTCTTTTTCACGCAGGATCTCCATATTTAGCCAAAAGCATTCATTTTTCATTACGTCATGCTACTTCTTAAAATTATCATTTTTTTTCTTTCTCATCTCTGCTTGCTTTTACTTAGGGCGTTGAGACACCATACCTTCATTTGTCGGCCATGCAGGAAGGAGACTATATGTTCCAGCTGATGGTGACAGATTCTTCAAAGCAGCGATCCACGGCTGTGGTCACTGTGACTGTCCAGCCCGGTAGGTGAGACGGAAGGGGGCTTTGGCCCCAGAGATTAAGGCAGAAATGACACCTGGGCTTCTGTGCTTCAGACAAGCGAAATTTGGAGGCAAATTCTCTAAATGTCTTAACTATCTAGAAATTGGGGCTGGAGGAGCTGAATCTTAATACAAAGCCAGGTTTCTACTGTAGTTCGGAATCTTGTGTTGACTGTGTCTTTAAACCATGGCACGGAGGCCCAGATGGACATCCTCAGGGCCCCTCGAGGGCTCCACTTGCCAGGTAGACACTCCTCCATGTGTCCCATTCTGCTGCAGAGCTCCAGGGCCTTCTTGAAGAGTCTGGTCATGATGTGTGGCCTGGTAGCTCAATGGCTCGTAGTCAGGTGGAGACTTGACTCCACGTCAGCTCTCAGTCCATTAATGGTTTCATGAAAAGCCAGGGCTCTGCCTTCCTGCAGATTTAAATATCCTTAAGGGGGGTTAGTTTTTGCATGGCAGTGCTCTTTGCTTTAGAACTTTTCTAGAAGATGCTGCTAATCCCAGTAACCATCCAGTGTACTGGCAACTGAAAATACACTCAGCTTATAGGCAACGCATTTATTTGTTTTATTTATTCACTTAGTATGTAGTAAGTGCTAGTGGTTAGACCCCAGGGATGTGGAATTAAACAAGAAAGACTTGGTCTCTGTCCTCCCAGGGCTCATGGGGAAGTCCACTGAAAAACCACAGGATCGGTGCATTTCTAGGGGATGGACACAGCGCTACTGGAGCCCATGAAAGGACCCACCTATGTGGGCTTGAGGCATCTGCAGAGAGTCTTACCTGAGCTCAGGTCTGCAGTTGGCCAGGTGAATCTGGGGAGAGAAGGGCAAGAGGAAGAGTTTTTTAGGTGAAGGAAACGGTGTATGAAAGCCATGGGATGAAAGGGAGTTTGGTAGTTGAAGGAATTAAAAAGAACGTAGTGGGACAAGAGAAAGCAGCGAGGACGTGGGAGTGTGAGGTACAGGGATTAGAATGCCAAGAGATGCTCTGGAGAGAGGTGGGGCTCCCATCCAGGGCTTTGTAATGGGTGGTCACGCGTTTGATCCTAAGGACAAGAGAAACCACGGCCTCACTGAACTTTACTGAGTAGCACAGTGAGGGTTGGACATGGTCCAGATACTGGGTCATAGCTGCCTCAGTTTTTGACTCCATGACTTTTATTTTAACAGAAAATTTGTCTATTTCAATATCAATATCAGCAATACTTTATATCTTTTGCTTTTTTTAATCTTTTTTTTTTCCCTAAGATTTTATTTTTAAGTCCTCTCCACACCCAGCGCGGGGCTTGGACTTAAAACCCTGAGATCAAGAGTCGTGTGTTCTACTGGCTGAGCTGGCCGGGCGCCCCTTATACCTTTAACTGTTGTTCAACGCTTAACTGAAATGTTTCGAGCATTTATTCTTTACCAGGCACTGTGTTAGGCCCTGAGGCTACAAAGACAAAATGAAGTAAGTCTTGCCTAACAAAGCAGCTGTCAACTCACTTCCTCCCAGTTCCTGCCTGCCTGCCCCCACTCTCCCCAGTCCTTCTTCCGTTCATCTGCCCATCCTGTTCCTTTTCCTTCTCTCTTGACTCCATGACTTTCCAGGTCTTTTATTTTATTTGTTTGTTTATTTGAGAGACAGATTACACACGCACACACATGCACGAGGTCGGGGGGATCCTCAAACAGATTCCCCGCTCAGTGTGGAGCCTGACGGTGGTGGGGGGCTTGATCTCACAACCCTGAGATCATGACCTGAGCCGAAACCAAGAGTCAAAAGCTTAACGGACTGAGCCACCCAGGGCGCCCCTTGAGGTTTTTTAAGGAAACCAAACATATATGTATTAGGGAACAATATTTCCTTCTGTCTGTACCCCCCAGCCTCACCCTCAAAACTGCAGTGTTTCTCCCCAGGATTTCCCCGGGTGTCCCGTACACTCTAGTCCCCGCCTGATCCAAATAGGAGTAATTTGCCAAAATCAAGACAGCAGGGGATCGAAGACTTAATCCCAAGAGATAATAGTGTTTCCCACCATTTCTGTAATTCTAGAAAGCAACAGGCCTCCAGTGGCTGTGGCCGGCCCAGACAAGGAGCTGGTCTTCCCGGTGGAGAGCACCACCCTGGATGGCAGCAGGAGCACTGACGACCAGGGCATCGTCCTCTACCACTGGGAGCACGTCCGGTAGGCCGTCTTACCCCTGAGCCGTGGGGGTCACGTCCCTGGCCCAGGGCTAACATCGCCCCCTCTCTGGAGGGCCCAAATTAGTCAACTCGAGCATGCTGGGGAGTGAGGAGCATTGTTGAAGAGCAGATCAAGTGTGGACAGGGCCATCTGGGGTGGGAGAGCTTTACAACTGACGAGGTGCTGGGAGACCTGTGGGAGGCCCTCAGAGGCCTCCTGGCTACACTCACTCAAACCATCTGCTCTGCCTCTCAGAGCCTAGTGACATCACAAGCCTAGGTTTGCCCAGACGGTAAGGGGGGCAGCTGGGTTTTTCCGACGACAGGGCCCACAGTCTTAATAACTGCACTGTAATTGCCCTTCGGAGATCTGTGATCTGGCTCATCCCTTCCTCTTCCATACTCTCTGTCAAGATAGATGAGGATTTAACCTAATTTCATTCAAAGAGGGAATGGGAGTAGTTTCTAAGACTCCGTTTTGTAAGGACAAATCATTTCACTGACAGTTCAATTTAAAAAAAAACCAAACAGGTCTGGGGGCACCTGGATGGCTCAGTCGGTTAAGCACCCGACTCTTGGTTTCAGCTCAGGTCATGATCTCAGGGTCGTGAGAATGAGCCCCGTGTTGGGCTCCGCGCTCAGCGCAGAGTCTGCTTGAGATTCTGTCTCTCCCTCTGCCCCTTCCCCTGCGTGCGCACTCTCTCTAAAATAAATAAATAAAATCTTAAAAAATAACCCCCCAAAAATCTCGCAGGCTCATTCTAAAATAGGCATTAGCTTATGACCCGTACCCTGAACTAGAGAATTTAAGTGGATTTAAAAAGTTATCTTGGAATTCTCTAGATGCTGTGTTTTAGCTGTAGAAACGGGCTTTTATAAGGACACAAACATCATGCCTGCCATAATCAGAATACCATGCCTGCTCTGCTTTGTTGTTCACTTCCGTTCCACAGAGGCCCTGGCGCCGTGCAGATGGAAAATCCCGACGACGCCGTAGCCACGGTGCGCAGGCTCCGGGTGGGGACCCACCGCTTCCGTCTGACGGTGACTGATGGGCAGGGGCTGAGCAGCACAACCACCCTCACTGTGGCCGTGAAGAAGGGTGAGTCCTGGCACCGGGGCGGGTGGGCACCTTCTTTCCCGTCTCACAAGACCCTCAGCCATGATTGTTCAGAAGCACTGGTATTTATCGGTTCACCGCAGACTCTGAACTCATGTCGGCCAAGAAAAAGCCATTCTTCCCCTGAGCATGCTCGCTGTTCCCAGTCTCCCTCTGCAGAGAAATAGCATTTCCTTTTGTGTGTCGAGTGAAACTTCTATGGGCTTCCCTCTTCTTCTGTGACTACTGGCAATGAAACACCTGCGTCCATGTGATGGCGTTATGCTCGCTCTCTCCTCCCTGGGAATCAAAGAGCAGAGATGTTTTCAAGTTCCATATTGTTTGTTAACTTGTGGTCTAGTCTCGTGCCACTCTGCTTGAGGACCTTCGTTCCAGACATTTCTGTGTCCTCTGGGGGACAATGCAAGGCTCATGTCAACTCACAAATGCTGGGCACTGGAACGGATGGATGGATGGATGGATGGATGGTTGGATGGATGGGTGGGTGGGTGGATGGATGGGTGGATGGGTGGGTGGATGGACGGATGGGTGGACGGGTGGACGGACGGACGGACGGGTGGACGGACGGACGGACGGATGGGTGGGTGGATGGGTGGATGGATGGATGGATGGATGGATGGATGGATGGATGGGTGGATGGGTAGATGGATGGGTGGATGGGTGGGTGGATGGATGGATGGGTGGACGGATGGATGGGTGGATGGATGGATGGATGGATGGGTGGGTGGATGGATGGATGGATGGATGGGTGGATGGATGGATGGATGGATGGATGGATGGGTGGATGGATGGATGGGTGGGTGGATGGATGGATGGGTGGGTGGATGGATGGGTGGGTGGATGGATGGATGGATGGATGGAAGATCATGATGTGTTGAAGCACAGGGGTGTCCAAGAGCATGCTGGACAGACAAAGTCAGGTACTGTAGACCAGCCAGTGGTGGGTGTGCTGGGGAGTGGCTGAGCTTCTGCCTCAACCTGTGAAGGGTCATGTGTCAGGCCAAGGAGGCTGGGACTTCGTCTGCTGGCCAGGCGGGAGAGGCTGAAGCAGTTTTATCAGCAAAGTGACATGGGTCTGGCTGTTTTCAGATGTTTTACTCTGGACATTTTCAACCATATATAAAAGTAGAGAAAGTAGGCTCATTGGACCATTATGTCCCTATCACCCAGCTTCAACAGCCAAGAGCAGTTTGCCAATCTTGTGTCGTCTAGCCATTCATATTTTCTTTTATTTTGGTTGGAGTATTTTATTTTATTTTATTTTTTTAAAGATTTTATTTATTTATTTGAGACAGAGAGAATGAGAGACAGAGAGCATGAGAGGGAGGAGGGTCAGAGGGAGAAGCAGACTCCCTGCCGAGCAGGGAGCCCGATGCGGGACTCGATCCCGGGACTCCAGGATCATGACCTGAGCCGAAGGCAGTCGCTTAACCAACTGAGCCACCCAGGTGCCCCATTGGTTGGAGTATTTTAAAGCAAACCCTAGCACCACATCATTTTACCTGAGAGTTAGGGATTTTTAAAGCAGGTGATGGTTTGATGGGAAGAGAGGTCAGCAGCAGGGAGAGCAGGGGGGAAATGATTGACTAGAAAGACATCTTAGAGCCTGAAGTCTCAGGACTTGATGCCTCAGTGGTTCTGGAGGGAAGAAGGATGGTGGGTGTCCTGATGACTCAGGGACAGTGACTTCAGTGCATGGGTGGGTGGTGGTGCCATGCTCTGACCTCCGTCCAGAGAAGAGCATCCCTGGGTTTGCAGGGGGTTGAGTTTGGACATAGCAGATTTGTGGCGATGGAGTGTCTGGAGAGTGCCCGGGGAGCGTCCTGACGGAGTTCAAGATTGCGGGGACATAAGCATGGAAGGGGGTGGCTGCCTTAAGTCCAGCCTTGAAGCGAGAGAGGGTCTAGTAATCATTTCTCACAGAAGGATTTTTGGGCTTACGCAGTCTTACTGCCAGTCTGTTTCTGTGGGTTCCACCTCCCCCTTGGTCTACGGTGGAATTAAGCCTCCTTTACACCAGGTTCTCCCCACAAGTCCTCCCAGAAAAGGCGTGTGGTGGACAATGTGGAAATGCTGCTAATGGTACCAGGTGCCTCTGCTCTGACCTCTGGGGTGTTTTCTCAGGAGGAAAGTGGCTGGTGATTGGCGGGATGCTCATTGCTCCCTGGGATCAACATCTGGCTATGCTCACCCCATGACTTGCTTGACTTGTTTTTAAGGGGCATTTGCAAGGGGTCAAGGGTCAGGTAGGGTCCCAGAACGCCACCTGAACACGCAGATTTCCCTCACAGCAGCCTCATCCTCACAGTGGGGCTGTGTCTTATTATGGTCTCCCCCTGCACCCCATTCTCCTGGCTCCTCCCTCCTGAGTCGATTTTATCAGAAATGGCTCTTAACGTTGTTCATGCATATTTAACACACAGTTGGAGGAGTGAAGGCCTGATTGTTTTTGAGTCAAGTTTTGATTTGCTTAAGCAAGGTGTGGCCCTGGTAGAAATAAATATTTCTATGGCCAGAGAGTGTGGACCAGTACATAATGATTCAGAATATATTTTAAACTAAAATATTTTCCCTTTCTGGACCCTGGTAAGTAAGGTAATTTTTTCTCTTTTTCAAAAAGAAACTGTCGTGTTGTTAGAAATCTCCCCAGTATACAGACCACCAGATTACAGCTACGCGTAAACAGAGCTACAAGAACGTCTATATGTTACGGGTGGAAAACAGTGCCTCTCGGCTCTTAAATCTGCGTATGTGCAAGATGGAGCCATCGTGGATAGTCTACCGCACTCTTCTGCCCCCTGCGTTTCACATCCGTCTCTTTGCTTTCATCTTTGCTGTTTGACTTAGGAAATAACAGTCCTCCCAGAGCCCACGCCGGTGGCCGCCACGTGCTTGTGCTTCCCAATAACTGCGTTACTTTGGACGGTTCGAGGTCTACCGATGACCAAGGAGTTGTGTCCTACCTGTGGGTCCGGGACGGCCAGAGCCCAGCTGCTGGGGTGAGTGCTCCATGAGAGCCGTCCCGCTTACATCACGCCGAGTCAGTCTGCTCGGGCTCCTGTAAGGAAATACCGTGGCCTGGGTGGCTTCCACCACAGACAGACGTGTCTCCCAGTTCTGGAGGCTGTGACGTCCAAGCTTAAGGCTCTGGATGATTTGGCTCCTGGTCAGAGCTCTCTGTTTGGCTCACAGGTGACTGCCTTCCCCACACAGCAGAGAGGGAGGGAGGGCTGGCTCTCTGCGGTCTCTTCTTCAAGCACATTAATCCTGTGGAATCAGGGCCCCACCTTTATGACCTCACGGAACCCCTACCTCCCTCCCTACAGGCCCGATTTCAAACACAGTCAGTTGCACTAGGGGCTAGGGCTTCAGCAGATGAAAGTGAAGGCCACACAGTTAAGTCCTTAGCAGCATTTCTATTATGACCTCATCTCCCTTTCCATGCTCCCCACTAAGGTGTTTATGCTTCTGGGTTTCCTCTGAGGCCCGGAGGCAGCCAGCTACTCTTAGATTCAAGCAAAGGCTGAAGTCTTCCCGGACCAGACTTTGCATTGGGGTAGGAGACCACAGCCTGGGGGGGGACTTTAAAGCCAAGTCTTCCCGTGGGAATCGTTCTGCTCCTCAGCTTCCCCGCTGTTCCTCTTTGGGTCCAAGTGGTTTCTTTCCATTTCCTCCCATCCTGCCAAACAGGTCAGTTGGTCCAGGATCGCTGTTCCCATTTCACAAGTACAGGAAGCGAGATGCAGAGATGGAAAATGACTTGGCCAAGGTCAACCAACTCATCCTTAATCAAACCAGGCAGACCCAAGTTTTTAGCTCCTGGCAGACGTTTCTCCGCATAGATCCCTCCACTTCTTAGGCTATACTTTTAGGTACATCTTCACTCCTGCTGTTGCTAAGGACTTGAGAGTTGCAGACGTACTCTTGGACGTGCCCCAGAGAAGTGGTCTTGTGGGGAGGGGGGAGATGAGCAGCACCTGGGTGGCTCAGTCAGCCAAGCGTCTGACTCTTGATTTCGGCTCAGGTCATGATCTCAGGGTTGTGAGATCGAGCCCCTTGTCGGGCTCCGCGCTCAGCGCAGAGTCTGCTTCTCTGCCTCTCCCGCTGCCCCTCCCCCCAGCTTGTGCATGCACGCTCTCACCTTCTCTCTAATAAATACATAAATCTTAAAAAAAATAAGAGAAGTGGTCACAAGGAAGGAACTGAACATGCTTTATACTTGCTGAAGCACCTCTGGAATGAATGCTCTTCAGCCAAAAGGTAGATTAGCTTCAAGGTATAGCGACTCTCTGTTCAGAGCACTTGTTACCTTTGCTTACCACCCTCTTCTGTCACCAAGTGCAGAGCAGGGGTGTCTGAGATTCTGCTCTAATCCTTTGGAGCTTGGATCCCCCGGGAGCGGAAATATTCTACTTGGGCTCTTGGGTCATTTGAGAAGGTAAATGTGATACATTAGAGACTATTGTAAAACTGTGTTTGAAAATCTCCAGAAACTCTCCAGAGGGGGTGCTTCACCCTCATCTCAACGGTTATCCCCTGTGTTGGATGAACTGAACAATTCGGTAATGGCTGGACAGCCCTTACTAAGTGCAGCCCATTAGTTCTGTCTGAGGAATCTGTGCGTCCTGGTGCTGTCTTTGGAAGAGCTGCTGAGGATTCCCCTCTCTTCAGCTAACCCACCAGCCCCTTCCTCTTCAGCCTGCCCCTTACAGTCATGCACACATTAGAAACATAGGCCCCTGAGGTCTGGGATCAGCAGTGGGCCAGAAGTTGGGAACTGAGCATCGACTTGAGAATCGCGTTATTTTGCAGGATGTCATCGAGGGCTCCGACCGCAGCGCAGCCCTGCAGCTTACCAATCTGGTGGAGGGCGTCTACACGTTCCGCTTGCAAGTTGCTGATGGTCAGGGGGCCTCGGACACGGACACGGCCACCGTGGAAGTGCGGCCAGGTGCGCCTGGGCTAACGTGCTGGTCTGTGATATAGGCGGCCCGCTCTCGGACTCTTCGCAGTGGACGGGGTCCCCCCGGCTGGGGTGCCTCCCGTGGCTGGCTTCCGCTCCTGGCCAGAGCCACAGTGCGGCTTTCCTTCTCTTCACTGTGTATCCCCAGACAGACCCGGCCTCTCAGCTCATGACACGGAGTTGAATGTGGCAGCAGGAATCTTGTGTCCCTTCGGTGTTGCTGTCGGAAAGTGAAGCAGACGCATGAGCTTCAGGGTGGGAGCGCGGGGGAGCAGCTCCAGTGAGGGGCCTCCAAGCCCCCCACGAAAACGGGGCGGGAGCGGCTCCCGCAGCTGAGGCTGAGGGAAGGGTGTGCGGAGCCAAAATTTCAAGGTAGCCCAGAGGCTGTTTAGGTTCCCCAGGAGATCTCCCAGGAAAAGTCCTAAGTCCTGAGAAGTTACCCCGGGATCATTTTAAACTCTTTAAACCCTTGTGCGGGCCTTGCCCCTTATGTTGTCCAGCAGGATTTCAGAGCGGACCTCCCGTGTGTTCTGGCTTCGCAGACCCTAGGAAGAGTGGACTGGTGGAGCTGACCCTGCAGGTGGGCGTGGGGCGGCTGACCGAGCAACAGAAGGACACCCTCATGAGACACCTGGCAGCCCTGCTGAACGTGCCAGACTCAGACGTTAAGGTTCAGAAGATCCAGGCCCACTCGGACCTCAGGTGTGAGCTGCATACCTGTCCGGCAGGATCCTGTTTGTTCCCTTTGCGTGTTGTCTGGGTTTGCACATGCTTGTATCCCATCCATACATTCTTTTTCTCAAAGGGCAGCAGTAAGGACAACGTCATTCCAGGTCCCTCCTACAAGTCTCAGTAAATGTTTGTTGACCGAGAATGTTCCAGATGAAGGAGTTAGCAATCATCAGCCGGAACTGGTTGTTAGCTCTGCTATCTTCAGAGGTCGTGCAAATGGCCTGGGGCTGGCACAGAGGATGCGTCACAGCCAGACTTCATCCCTACCCCACATTCCCAGGGCTGAGGCTTCTCTCGGTGTGAGAGGAGCATCGATTACCATTGCTGTCTTCTGGGAGTGTAGGAGGCTAAACCTCTGCCCTTTATATAAGATTTATATATTTAATTGAGCTTTTGTTTTTGAATGCTTATCCAATCTATGAGTAGTAGGGTGGGTGGGAGGAGAGAAAGAGTATGGGAATGAAAATCTACCATTCACAGTAAATCCATTGGCCAGTTATTGTCAGCTACTCTGTTCAGGTTTTTTTCCCAGACAACTGAAGTTTACTTAGAAAAATACCAAGTTAAAAGAATTTTAATTATTTTTTCATAGAATTTTAATTAATTTTTTCATAAATTTCATTATTTTTTCATTCTTTCAAAACAAATCACACATTTCCCTTACTTACAAAATATCAAACACTGAACAAGTCTGAAAATCAACAAAACCAAAGGCTGTTTCTTTGAAAAATCAACAGAATTGATAAACCTTTAGCTAGACTGACCAAGAAAATAGAAGACTCAAATTAGTAAAATGAAGAATGAAAGGGGATATTCCTACCAACCATATAGAAATAAAAAGGATTATTCTTTGAGTAATTGTATGTCAACAAATTAGTTAACCTGGATGAAATGGACACAATCCTAGAAAGACACAACTATACCAACTGACTCAAGAAGAAATTAAAATTTTTTACAGACCTATAGCAAGTGAAGATTAAATCAGTAATCAGTAACTTCCCACCAAGCCCAGGACCAGATGGCTTCACTGGTGAATTCTACCAAACCATTTAAAGATTTACCACCGCTTCCACAAGTTCTTCCAAAACAGAGAAGTGGAGGGAACACTTTCCAACTCATTCTAGGAGGCCAGTTTTTACTCTGATATTAAAACCAGACAGAGGGGCACCTGGGTGGCTCAGTCGGTTAAGTGTCTGCCTTCAGCTCAGGTCATGATCCCAGGGTCCTGGGATTGAACCCCATGTAGGGCTCCCTGCTCAGCAGGGAGTCTGCTTCTCCCCCTCCCTCTGCCCCCTCCCCTGCTCATACTCTCTCTCTCTCTACTCAAGTAAATAAAATCTTTAAAAAAAATAAAACTAAAAATAAAACCAGAGACATTCCCAAGAAAACTACTGACCAATGTCCCTTATGAATATAGAAGCAGAAATCCTCAACAAAATACTTTGAAACTGCATCCAGCAACATATTAAAAGATGTAGACACCCTAGCCAAAGTGGGATTTATCCCAGGCATGCAGGGTAAGTCAATCAATAAATGTAATAAACCCTATTAATAAAGGACAAAAACCATATGATCATCTTAGTAGGCACAGAAAAAAAGCATTTGATGAAATCCAACAGCCTTTCATGATAAAAACACTTGTAGGCTGAGTTGTGGCCCCTCAAAAGATACATTTACATCCTAACCCCTACTACCTGTGTGACCTAATTTGGAAACAGGATCTCTGCAGATGGAAGTAGTTGAGATAAGGTTAAACTGCCGTAGGGTGCACCCTTCATCCAGGGTGATTGTGTCCCTGTAAGAAGAGAAGAGACTCAGAGACAGACACACAGGGAGATCACCAGGTGACAGTGGATTGATGGGTCTCCAAGCACGCCCACTGTGGAGAGCTGCAAGAAGGTGTGGGGCATGGTTTCCTCTAACACCTTCAGAGACAGGATGGCCTGACAATACCTTGATTTTGAGCTTCTAGCTTATGGAACCGTAGGAGAATAAATTTCCATTGTTATAAGCCACCCAGTTTATGGTACTTTTAATGGCAACCTTGAAAACGAATACAGATTTGAATAGAAATGTCTCCAGAGAAGACATACAAATGGCTAATCAGCACATGAAAAGGTGCTCAACGTCATTAGCTATTGGGAAATGCAAAGCAAAATCCTTTTGACATACCACTTCACACCCGCTAGGTTGGCTGTAATCCAGAAGACGGACCATAACAAGCGTTGGCGAGGACATGGAAGGATTGGAACACTGCATTTCTGGTGGGAATGTACAGGGGTGCAGCCAGTGTGGAATTAGTTCCTCAGAATGCTGAACGTAGTTCCCAGACGACCCAGTGATTCCACTCGGAGATACATACCCAAGAGAAACAATAAATGTGTGTCCACACAGAAACATGCACATGAAGATTTATACGTTCAGCCAAAAGTGGATACAATCTAAACGTCAGCAGTTGATGAATGGATAAACTCAATGAGCAATGTCCGTACAATGGAATGTGGTTTGGCAATAAAAGGGAAGGAATTTGTGGTAGACAGTGGGACGTGGATAAACTTGGGACACATCATGCAAAGTGGAAGAAGCGGGACAGAATGCCTCGTGTATTCATTTGTATCAGACATACCGTCAAACCAGGAGAGATGGAAGTGGATGAGTTGTTGCCAGGGGCTGAAGAGAGGAAGGGATGAAGAAGAGTCACTCCTTAATGGGCACAGGGTTCCTTGAGGTGATGACAATGTTCTGGAGTCAGATGATGGCGATGGTTACACAGTGTAGTGAATATACTAAAAGCCGCTGAGTGATGCGATTTAGAAGGGTGAATTCCAGTGGAAGTAAATTATATCTCAATAAACAGATAAAAGTAAGGACATCTCCCCGCGCTCGGCTGAGTCTGTTTGCACACATACGCATATTGCTCCTCTTAATCTAAAGGTCTATCTGTCATCAGGTGAATAGATAGCTCTGGGGCTGAAGAGCCTTTATTTGTGACTAGAAACGGATCAGTTCCTTGGCCCACGAGATACGTCCCCGTGTCCTTGCCAAACCACCCGGCTGGGGCAGTCAAAACCCTCCCAGGTCAGACGGCCGGTGCGGATGTGGCATGTCGGTCACTGCCTGACCCCGTGGCTGTCCTCCCTCTTGTCTGCTCTGCAGCACCGTGATTGTGTTTTATGTCCAGAGTGGGCCGCCTTTCGAGGTTCTCAAAGCTGCCGACGTGGTCCACAGTTTGCATAGGCAGCTCTCAAAGGAGAAGGCCGATTCCTTGCTCTTCAAAGTCTTGAGGATCGACACAGCAGGTATGTCTTCTATGGGAATAGTCCTTCTTTCAGGGTCCAAGTAGTAGAAATATTTGCTGTCTATTCAGAATTGGATGGCACTGAGCAAAACATCCCATCAAATTAGATGCATTGAGAATCTCATAGAAACCCAAATACCCGTTGAGGCTAAAGTGACAGATTTCTTGGACGAGGTGATCTAAGATGTGTTTGCAGTCTGACAGGACAGTAGTGAGGTCACGTAGTCTTTTGGGACTGACTGGGCATGAAGTCCAGTATTTGTCTAATCAGAAATTAAATATTGAGCTTAATTCCTCCAAGAATATGCCTATAGGTTGATTCCTCTGGGAATATTCTTTTTTTTATTTTTTTATTTTTATTTTTTTTATTTTTATTTATTTATTTTTTAAAGATTTTATTTATTTATTCATGAGAGAGAGAGAGAGAGGCAGAGGGAGGAGCAGGCTCCCAAGGAGCAGGGAGCCCGATGTGGGACTCGATCCCAGGACTCTGAGATCATGACCTGAGCCGAAGGCAGACGCTTAACCATCTGAGCCACCCAGGCGCCCTCCTCTGGGAATATTCTTTTTTTTTTTTTTTTTTAAAGATTTTATATATTTATTTATTCATGAGAGACAGAGAGAGAGAGAGAGAGAGAAGCAGAGGGAGAAGCAGGCTCCCAAGGAGCAGGGAGCCCGATGCGGGACTCGATCCCAGGACCCTAGGATCATGACCTGAGCCGAAGGCAGACGCTTAACTGTCTGAGCCACCCAGGCGCCCTCCTCTGGGAATATTCTTAAAAAAAATCAGACTCAGCCTTGCCAGTCAGGGCCAAGTTTTACTGGCATGGAAAGAGGAGTGAGGTGTGACAGTTTTCACGTTTAGCGTCCAGAGACTTGGTTCACGTTTATGTTTACAGTGGGCTTCCTCCAGCACGTTTACCACCTGCTCTTTGCCTCTGAGGGAAGCAAGAGAAACAGCAGTCCTGGGTCAGTTTTTTTAAAACTATACTCCAGATAATGGTCATTGTCAGAAATTTCATATTTAAGCTGTCAGCACAGTTTTAAAGACAAGTGTTCTGGGCTGGAAAAGCTTATGTTCATGTAGTTTTTTCCCTGGGCGTCACGGTGTTGTGACAGTGGGGTTTCCTGGACTCCTGGAAAGGCAGGGTAGCTTCCAGGTGCCTCCCACTGGACCCTCGTCCTGGCGCCTCGCTTGCTGCCCCGTCCTGGCACCAGACTGACTCACGGGTGTGCTCGGAAATGTGGTCTTGGTCCAAGTTCTCTGTCTCTACCTTATGAGGAACATGATCCCTCATGATGAAGTAAGTGGCCATTCCAACAGGCGCCAAGGAGTGTGAGCGTCGGGAGGGACACGGCAGTGTCGGGTGGACGGTTTAGCATGTTTCAGAGAGATGTCTGTCCACAACTGATGTCCTCAACGTGCATTAACTTAAATCTTTTTTAAAGATTTCATTTATTTATTTATTTATTTATTTATTTATTTATTTATTTATTTGACAGAGAGACAGAGCCAGAGAGCACAAGTGGAGGGAAAGGCAGAGGAGAGGGAGAAGCAGGCTCTGCACTGAGCAGTAAGCCTAACGCAGGGCTCGATCCCAGATCCCTGGGATCTTGACCTGAGCCGAAGGCAGATGCTGAACCATCTGAGCCACCCAGGCGCCCCACTAACTTAAATCTTTTAATAATCCCCTTTTTTCTAGCTACAAAAGTAATGTCTTATTTATCATAGGAAATTTGGAATATCTAGAAAGGAAAAAAAAAAAAAAAAACAATCCTCTAGATTCTTGAGCCTAGAATCCCCACCCTCCAAATTTAACTTTCGTTAATATTCTGATGTATTTCCTTCCAGCTCCTCCCTCTCTGGAAACATGTGATACAATCAGGATAATTCGATAAATATTTTTAATCTGCTTTTTAAGTGCAAATCATATTATCATTTTTTTCGAATCTTTTACGATTTCTCCCTCAATAGAGGATATTTATGGCTGCATTGTCCTCCATCCTGGATACGTTCAACCAGTCCTCCACTCAAGGACTTTAGGTTGATTTTAAATAATGCTGTAATTGTAGACAAATCTTCGTGCACATCCCCAGTTATTTTCACTGGATAAATTCTTAGAATGTATCTCTCTTAGGCCAGAGGGTACTACGTGTTGGCTACATTTTTAAGGCTTTTGTTACCCGGTGTGGATTGGCTTTTTTCTGCCGTTTGCTTCCTGATGAGAGAGACCCCTTGGGCCCCCTGCATGCCGTAAGAGGCTCTTGAGTCAGCAAGATGCGTCCATCGGGGTCCAAGCTAATGAAAACCCACCGCGGGCGGAAGCCAGGCTCTGCCCTCCTGCCGGCCGCCACACTGGCCTCAGCTGCACCCCCTCTTCGCAGGCTGCCTTCTGCAGTGCTCTGGCCACGGTCACTGCGACCCCGTCACCAAGCGCTGTGTGTGCTCCTGGCTGTGGATGGAGAACCTGATACAGCGTTACATCCGGGATGGGGAGAGCAACTGCGGTGAGTCTGGGGCTGGGGGTGCGCCTGTGGGCGAGGAGCGTCGGGACACACCGGTTTTTGAAATACCAGAGATACCCGCCCCATTCTGCTGCTGTAAACATTCGCCCTCTCCTTGCCTGAAGCCAAGGCGCAGTGAGTTAAGATCCTCCCCACCCCCTGCCATCAGTGTGGACGGACGTGCCTAGGCTTTTCCGCAAACCTTCCTGATAAGGAGACCCACTTGGGCAGAGCAGAGTTGGCTAATCACCGCCTGCATTGCCGAGAGAGTTGCTTTGTGCCCCTTGGGCCATTTTTGGGGTGCACCTGCCTTGGCTCGGGCTCAGTTGGCCTTCTGGTGACGTGTTTCCTGGTGTGGACCTGCTGGACGCAGATGAACGGGAGAGTCTGGCCCACTCCTCGTGGATGTCTGCCGGGCAGGCACCAAGAATGGGAGCCACCTTCTCAGCTAGCCCAGCTCGTGCCCCGACATCTCCTCTGGGGAGGAATCTGTTTTAATGCCAGTCTATTTCCAAGAGCAATTTTGTTGCCTTGGGGATCCAGATGCACGTATTTGGCCGAGAAATTTGAAAATAGCCAGCCCTTGGGTCATTATTCCAAAGAGCATATATAACACTTACTAGGGTTAAGCCTATGTCTTTGGGCCCTTGGTTTCTCTGTCCCGAATTGCTCTTGCAAAGCTTTTTATACTGGATTTGTGCAAGGATGTGGAAGGAATGCAGATCAGGTGGTTTCTGAATTACTGTCTGGCTCTCGGAAGTGTGTATGTGTCATAGGAAGCCATACAGATATTTTTTTTGCCTTATTAAAGACTAAGCCAGAACTATTTTGGTGGGGAGGGTTGTGTTTCTTGTGATTATGGAAGGAATATTGTGATGTGTCATACATGGGTGTTCACAGAATTACTTCTTTTTTTAAGATTTTTTTTTTAATTTAACAGAGATAGCGTAAGTAGGCAGAGTGGCAGACAGAGGGAGAGGGAGAAACAGGCTTCCCGCAGAGCAGGGAGCCCGATGCTGGGCTCGATCCCAGGACCCTGAGATCATGACCTGAGCCAAAGGCAGACGCTTAACAACTGAGCCACCTAGGCGCCCCTCACAGCATTACTTCTTAATTAATTTGGTTTTGATAATTCTGTCCTTAAGTCAGCATGAAATATACCCCATGAGGTCCCTGAACCAATTGCACCGAAGTTGGGTACCTTTAAGTTGTTCTTGATTTATTTGCATTTACCATGTTTATGCTCTGCTCAGCCCGATGAGGCCGTAGGTGGCCTTTGCTCGTAAGAACTCAGAAACACTCATTGTGAGTCACTGAAATAAAGTTGTTTTGCGAACAGCGTGTAACCGTGTCCCCTCTGGCTTTCTTGTTTCCCAGAGTGGAGTATATTCTACGTGACGGCGTTGGCTCTCACTGTCCTCGTGCTGATCGGGGGCTCGCCCTGGCTTTGCATCTACTGCTGCAAGAGGTACCCCGCCTGCTCGTTTATTTACTTGGAATAAAGACACGTCATGGAATGGAACTCGATAGCTGTAGTAGCTTTAGCTTGGGTTTCTTAAGCTGCTGAACCATTTGACAGTCACTTTTATATGAAGACAAACTAGACTTTAAAAGTCCTTTATGGGGACGCCTGGCTGACTCAGTCGATGGAGCATGCGACTCTTGATCTCAGGGTCTTGAGTTCAAGACCAACGTTCCGAGTGGGGCCTACTTAAAAAAACAAAAGCCTCTATATTGTACTCCCACCCCACCCCACCCCACCCCACCCCCTGCAAGGCATGTGTGCCCAGATACATGGAATAATACCAGAGGCGGCTTTTTCTTTTTCTTTTTTTTTAAAGATTTTATTTATTTATTTGACAGAGAGATAGAGAGCACAAGTAGGCGGAGAAGCAGGCAGAGGGAGAGGGAGAAGCAGGCTCCCCGCAGAGCAGGGAGCCCCATGCGGGACTCGATCCCAGGACCCTGGGATCATGACCTGAGCCGAAGGCAGCCGCTTAACTGACTGAGCCACCCAGGCGCCCGAGGCGGCTTTTTCTTATGCAGCTTTCCTCTTTCCTAGGAGGCTCAGTGATTTCTGTATCAAATCTAATGTTATTTTCTATCAGTCTCACCTTCCCTTTACTAAGACACTCCTGGAATGGCCTCATTGATCAGCCCTCACAGGAAGGAGTTCCAGAAACATTCTGATGCAAATTTAGATTTTGATTCTTTTGTGTGAAGCAACAATGGAATCTATCTCAATCCTATTGAATAAATGCAAAACCTTAATCCAGACCATGCAGTCACCAAAGAGAAGTTTTGTTTTCGGTGTTTTCCCTCTTCCTTCTTCGGTGGAGCTGACCTCGAGAAGCCCTTGAGCTGCCTTGTTGTCTCAATCTTCCAGAACTCTGTGCCCAGCCCTCTGTGAGGAGATTTGTAGGGACAGTGATTTCTCGAGTCCTTAGAAGACAATGTCGGTGGCCCACTATCGACACAAAACACTAAATACTCTCCAAAGAAGACACGATAAAAAAAACTAATGTGTACGGTAACTAATAGTTATTTTTTGAAACTGCTCACATTATCTTGGTTTTATTTGTGACTCCTTTCCCAATAGTGAGGCTGGTGAAGGGGGGGCACAGGTCCTCAGAGGCCTAAATCCCAGTAAACTTTCCCAGAGCTATTTGGGACCATGGGCACCCTGCTGTGCTTGGCTGTAAAAATTCTGCAAAAAATAAAAATAAATGAAAATTTAAAAAAAAATACACATTCTGCAGTTTTGTGGCATATATATCAAGCAGATGATGGTGATGATGAAGAAAGTGGTTGACCGTGACCTTTTTACGTATTAAGAAGTAATATGAAATATTCGCCATTGTGACGGATGGCTCTCCGTGCTTTATGTATATTATTCAGTCCTCCCACCACCGTATAAAAAGGGACTGTTTTTACTTCCATTTTACAGGTGGGAATTTGGAGTCACAAAGTATCAAAAAATTGTCTCAGAGTCACCCAGCTAGTAAGCACTGAATCAGGCTTTAGAGGCCCATGCTCTAAGTCCCCACCCTGTCTGGAAACTGAATGCCCTGGGACTGTCCTCAGCATAACCTTCCCGTGGCTTTGATGTGTGTTTTCACATAATCCTCGGCAGCTTAGGACGATGCACAAAGGACCAGTTTTTCATGCGTTGTGAAAAATGAAATCCTGGGCTGTTGCCAGTTAATTTGGGGAATCTGTTATATTTGTTTGTTTGTTTTTCCTGGTTGCTAGTTTATATCATCTTTGCATCTTTGGACCTTCTAGGCAGTGTAGGTTCAGGGGGGAAATGTGTGCGTCCAGGTTTTTCCGAGTAAAGAAGGACCCGTGGGGAAGCTCTCTGTGCCAGCACTCAGGTACTCAGACGGTGGCTCCCAGGGGCCCTGGCCGAGAGCCTGCGGTTAGGTGGGCGCTGGGGGGCGGCCGCCCTGCTCCTGTGTTTGTTCAGGATGCACGCTGTGCCTCAGCCCCACCGAACCCAGCCCTGGCTCTGTACGCACATCATCCCTACACATGCCGACCCTTCCATTCTAAAGGCAAACCATTTCCTTTAGTGTTTTAATTCCTGGCTCCCGGTTCCCTCTCTAAGAACCTGAGTTGGGCTTTTCGTTGTTCCTCCCAGACGAAAAAGGACTAAAATAACGAAGAAAACCAAGTATACCATCCTGGATAACATGGACGACCAGGAGAGAATGGAGCTGAGGCCCAAGTATGGTAAGGTGGTCTGCAAGATGCTTGCCCGGTGCTTGAAAGGATCGAATCGGGGGGTTTGCCTGAGCGTTCCCTTGGGTGAAGGGGGAGCGACAGGCTGGAGCCAGCAATTTAATTGGGAAGGAAGAGTGAGTCTGAGCTTGTGGGAGGGAAAACCTACACCAATCCCAAGGATATGCAACGGGGAGGCATCGTTGTATTCTAAATTTCATGAAATTTTGGGGACGCACTTTGAGGCCTTAACGGCTGAGAGATATGAAATGCCTCTTATCAGCTGAGCCCCCCCTTTGCCCCCACTGCAGGCAAAGACCGCTTTTCAAACAGGTTTGCCTCTGGCACAGCTGGGCTGTCGGGCGTGCGGCCCCGCTCCGCCCCAGCGCCCCTCTGAGCGCTGCGCCCCGCAGGCCTGCTCCCCGACAGCATTTCCCTTAGCTGACGATCCATATGCAGGCGAACATGAAGCTTTGACAGAGCCGGCGAGGGCCCGTGGTGGGTAGGGCCGGGCCACCTGCTTCTCTCAGTGTTTCTGGTGCCTCTCTGCGCACTCCATGCCCTCCCCGGTCCTCCTGTCCAAATCCCTGCCTGTATGAAATATCGCTGAAGCAATGCTGGCCGATCGGTGTGTGCTTATCCGTTCTTGATTCCTGTAAGATTGATTTTTCAACGTTTCTTGCCTGTTTTGAACCATCTTCTCAGGAGTCTTTGTCTTAAGCCCTTAGCTAGACACTGTAAATTCTCTGAGAGCAGGGATCGCATCTTATACCACATTTCCTAGTTTGACCAGCAGCAATCACATATTCTACCAAAAATATTTTGATTGAACCAAATCGTAAGACCATAACAGCTTTCACTTCGTGCTTACTGAGCTCTAACTCCTAGGCATCAGCTTCACCTGCACTGTTTTATGGAGTGCTCACCATAAACTCGTGGAGTACGGGCTCGGTCATCTCCCAGTATTAATGGTTATGGAGCCTGAAAGCCCAGAGAGGTTAGGCATCTTGTCCAGCATCACACAGCTAGCTAGTAAGTGTCAAAGCTTGGGTTCAAGCTCAGGGGTGACTCCAAAGCCCCTGTTGCTGCTCACCAGGGCCCCCAACCCCTGCTCTGTTGTGAGTGATGCTCTGAAGGTGCAGAGAACACCACTGGGTACATGGGACCTACAACCAGAAAGACAGCTGAGAGCGAAAAAGGCCGTTTCCCCCAAGATGCATCTGTCTGCTTCTCCCTAGGTATTAAACACCGAAGCACAGAGCACAACTCCAGCCTGATGGTGTCCGAGTCTGAGTTTGACAGTGATCAGGACACAATCTTCAGCCGAGAGAGGATGGAGAGAGGGAATCCAAAAGTTGCTATGAATGGTTCCCTCAGAAACGGAGCTTCTTTCAGCTATTGCACAAAGGACAGATAATGGAGCAGTTTGTAAACTCGAAGGCTACCCACAGGAATCGCTGAATCCAGGACCAGTTACTGGGAGTTAAAACACAGAACTAACTCTTGTTAGAATAGTGCATTAATGTCCTTTCACACGGGGCTGGATGTGTGTCCCTGTATTTAAAAGATCTGTTTTCTTGGGGTGTTGGAGACATGAAACAAAACAGAAACGTTGCTCTTTTAAACAGAGATGCTTGCTAACAGGGATACAGGTTGGGTCAGATACTAGGTATACCCGTAGAAGAGTTTCGTGTTTCGTAGGTGGCGCGGTATTTATATTACCTAGGTGGAAATAAAGACTACCCCTGTGTCTATCCGCAGACCTTTAGGTAAGTTAAACACGCATTTAAAGAGGGCTGATTTCTCTCTGGAGCTGCGATTGCCCTTGAGGACGACGTTCCGAACATGGTTTTTCTGGTAGGACCCACACAATCACATGGCTGCGTGTGTTACAGTAGCTTACTTGAGGTGTGGGTTGTCTTCTGTGTGGCAGGTTTTCTGTGCTGACTGAGACCCCCGTACAGAGCAAGCCCCCCAGTATGCTTATTCCTTGCTGTGGCCAGCCACCGTGTGCCCTGTGTTGACAGCAGCCCCTGGGAATCGGAGAGCTGAGTAAGAATCATCTGATGAGGACCAGAGGCATAGAAAGGGACGTGGGGGCATCACGACCTGTAGGTCGAAAGTTGAAGGTCACATGGTAACATCCTTTGCCTTTTCCTTCTCCTAGAAAAGCTACCTCGAAGCCTCTCCTAGCCCCAGTGTACGTTAAACGCGATAAAAGTGATTATTAACTGATGGAACATGTACTGAGTATGTCCATAGGCATGTATTTAGATTGCCATAGATAGGAATAATGACTCAGCAACTTTGTCTATATTCTCAAACTCAGAAACGTAGTCCGTCTTAATTAGGATGGGATGCTCATGATAATTGGCCCCTACAGATACTTTCCATGATAACAAATTGACATAGACACTCACTTCATAGGTTTAAAAAAATATATTAAATCTTTTTTTTTTTTTTTAAGATTTTATTTATTTATTTGACAGAGAGAGAGAGCGAGAGCAGGAACACAAGCAGGGGGAGTGGGAGAGGGAGAAGCAGGCTTCCCGCTGAGCAGGGAGCCCGATGCGGGGCTCCATCCCAGGACCCTGGGATCAGGACCTGAGCTGAGGGCAGACGCTTAACGACTGAGCCACCCAGGCGCCCCTTAAATCATTTTTTTTTAACCAGATAAATCTCACTTTAAATATATGGGTGGGGGGAACCCATCCCCAACCACAGAGCACCCCAGAGCAGACCTGGAGTGAACTATAGCCTGAGGAGGTGGCTGGCCCCTGTTGGTTCTCCATCCATAGTCTTGAGGCTGGTGACCTGGGAGGCGCCCTTGGCATTCTTTGGAAAGATTAGAATAGAGGTGGGGCCCATCACAGATAGAATCAGTGTTGTGGCCTCAGGCGTGAACACACCTAAACAGGATCCTGGTGCACAAGTTTCTGTGAAACTAGGATTGCTTTACCATGATTAAGTGGAAAAGCAAGAGGATCAGGTTTAAACCATCAGGACGGAACAAGGGAGAAAATAGTTGCTGTGGGTCCCTGAACAAAATTAAGCTTGCAGATGCTTTTGTTCTCTCTGGTCATACTCATCCTCATGAGATCATCTTGTTTTCAATTTTTGTACTTTCTGGGGAACCGCAGAACTAAAAAGTATATAAGACTGTAATTTTATTTTTAAAAAATAATTTCTTTGCTTATGCCTCCACTTTCTGTATTACTAGTCAGTTCAGTCTATCTGTGATGTTAGAAGGAAGATGTGATGGTTTCTACACCAGTATTTATCTTCATAAACTTAATCCCTCACATACCTAGTGAACAGAGTTGTTTTGTCTACAACCAGAAATTTCCAGCTTCGAGGAATGCAGAATAGGAGGTGGATAGCGTGCAATGAAGAAGAGTGAACGTTTAAGTGCTTTATGTGCATAATACATGTTTTATATATACCCCACTGGTCCTTACAGTCAGCCTGGAAAAGGAGATACTATTCTCATGTGGCAGAGAACGACCTGGAGTCCTAGAGAGGTTAAGCAACTTGTGCAAGGTCACAGCCCAAGAGTGCTAGATCTGCGAACGGAATGCAAATTTTTTAAGCTGTGAAGCCCATGCTTTCCACCCTCCTCCCTTACTATACAGAGAACTGCCACCCTCAGCTGTTGGACAGCAGATTCTGGCTGGCCTTTTGGACCATTTGTTCCTGGGACCCAGGGGACTTCCTTCAGACGATGGCGAGAACACAGGACGCAGAGAAGCCTCCCTCGTCCCTCCTGCGGGATCACACCCTGCGGCAGCGCTCTGGTTTCGAGTGCTGCTTCCGCCTCCCCTGGCCTCCCTTCCCCCACGGGTGCACCTTGACCTCAGGTGCACCAGGAGGTGGTCTGCCCTGGGTATCCCGTGGACCCCGGGCGGGGCGGAGATCGGGGTGAGGAAGAACCGCCTCCTGCCCGCCACCCAGGGCAGAAGCTCCCCCAGGGCCAGGGGAGGGAAGGTTCTCCAGCTGCTTGATGGAGAAGCCCGCCCACGAGGCCCTTCAGTCAGTGCAAGGGGATGTGACCTGGGTACTGAGGCCAGTCGCCGAAGAATGCAGCCGAAAGGCGGCGCGGGAGGCACCCCAGCCCGGGGGCGGAGGGTCCCGGGCGCCCCGGCCGCCCTGCGCTATTTCCCAGGTCTGACCAGCTCTTATTTGTGGGACCACGTATGAGACATGGCCAGTCTAAATAAAGGTGCCTGTATTTCCGTTGGAGCAGGGGAGTAGTTCCCGCGTCGCGCGAGGGCCTTCCCTGGGGTGAGAGTGGGCAAGCTGGCCTGACCTGTTCTGTGCGGCCCGAAAGCCCGCGGTTGTTTTCACGTTTCCAAATGGTTGGGGAAATGGTGAGGCTGTGGTGAGACTTCAGTGGAGTTGGATTTCAGTTTGTGCACCAAGACAGCCGTGATGGAAGACGCGCCCCCCGCTCCTGCTTGGAGGACGGCAGAGGAGCGGTGTGCAGGGCCATCCCAACCCCAAATACCCGCTTCCTGGCCCTTCTCAGAACCATGTGCCCAGCCCCACAGCCCCGCACTTCTGCCGTCTCTCTCTGCCCCTCCCCCTCGCATGCCCTCTCTCTCTCTCCAAAATAAATAAAGAAATCTTTAAAAACCAAACAAAAGTAGTCATTCCAACAGGGGCACAGGCGGGGACTAGCAGTGTTCTGTTTCTTGCTCTGGGTGCTGGTCACAGGGTGTGCTCAGCTTGTGAAGATTCAGCAAGTTGTTCACTTCTGTACTCTTTTTGGCATGCATGTTACATTGAATGAAATTTTAAAAAAATACTGTTTTTAATTTAAATTCAATTTCGTTAACATAGACTATTATTAGTTGCAGGGGTAGAATCTAGCGATTCATCAGTTGCATATAACACCCAGTGCTCATTACATCATGTGTCCTCCTTCATGCCCATCACCCAAGAATAAGAAACCTTGCCAAGTGATTTTACTTCCAAAGCTGAGTATAAAGGGCTAGCAGGAGGGATTTCTTTGGTGGTGGTGGACACAGTTACAGTTACAGGTGGACACAGTTACAGTTACAGATACAATTCTGTATCTTGATTGTGGCAGTGATTACACAAACCTTCCTACCGATGGGATTAAGTTGGATAACACACACATTCACATAAATGAGTGTACAAGAAACTGGGGAAACTGCCAGAAGGTCTGTATTAACAGTATGATACTTATGTCAGTTCCCTGATACTATGTAAGATGGTAACCACGGGGGGAAAATGGGTGGGAGGTATGGCAGAATGTACCACTTCTGCAACCTCCCATGAGTTTATAATTACTTCAAAATAAAAAGTTGAAAGAGGTGGAGGGGAAATAGCCAGATTCGTGATTAACAGTGAAATCCTAAAAGTTCTTCCATTGAAGTCAGCAACAACAACAACCAGCATTTCTCCAACTAAACAGTCTCCCTTTTTGAGATGAGTTTAGGGAATGGCCAAATTTCCTGCATTTGAAGTGTCCTATTATCACCTCTGTCCCAAGGTGACGAGCCCAGAATTGCAGGCCTGAGGTCTTAGCACAACCGGAAGAAAGCACACAGTCTTACCTAATCTGACACAACACCTGCAAACACGTCCATGTCCCCTGAATCACCAGGACGGGGGATTGTTCGCAGCCTACACTGTGGCGAGTCCTTCCTAGTTAGCTGATAAAATGGATGGATGGTAAGTAAATCTTCAGACTGCCAATTTCCAAACCCATTTCCATTCATTTATAAATAGCACATGCAAATAGAATATGCTGGTAGCCTTTCAACACTCTTAGATGAAGCAGGGCCTATTTTTCCAGAAAGTTTTGCCAGATTTCATCAATGAAAACCATACTGATTTGCTTTTTAATTTGCTGCGGGCTAAAATAGAAGCTGTAGCATTTACATTTACTGATAGAGAATGGAAGAAATAGGAAGAAGATGAAAGTAACACTTGCTTTTAAGCAGAGGCCTAGGCCAAGGATGTAAAGAACCCCCCCCCAAACTGAGAGGTAAATGGGTAATTTCTCCTGGTAATAAAGTAATTTTAAAAATTAAAAGCAGGTTCAGTGGAACACTAAGCATTGTCTACACATAGCAGGCCTTCCTGGGTTCTCTGATTCCCGCATTCAGTGCCCTTGAGGCACTTTCTGACCCTGTACCATTGTAGAGAAGAGTGGTGCAAAACGCAAATTCTGGCGTCTTGGGAGTCTGACTGACTTCCCTCCCACGTGTGGAAGAAGCTAGTGTTCTTCCATTTGCACATTCATTTCAAGGTTTCTCATCCATATAAAATTTGTGGGAGTTTTTCACTTATTCTTTCAACTGGTTATAATACCCTTACCAGCTTCCTCATTAATGAGTTAAATAAAATACCGTATGTTCATTTTTTTAAAATTTAATCGACAGCGTGAGGGGGAACACAAGTAGGGGGAGTGGGAGAGGGAGAAGCAGGCTTCCGGCCAAGCAGGGAGCCTGATGTGGGACTCGATCCCAGGACCCTGGGATCATGACCCGAGCTGAAGGCAGTCGCTTAACCAACTGAGCCACCCAGGCGCCCCCGTATGTTCATTTTTTAAAAAACCAAAGCAGGGGAAAAGAAATGCATGAATTCAGTGGAATGAACAAAGGGAAAGACATATCCAGTGGCACTGCTTTTTCTTCCGATGAAGAACTTACTTCTGTTCAATGTCAGATTCAATGAGGCCACATGAAATTTCTTAAAAAGTAATGAGCACTGGGTGAAAATACAAGATACACTGTTAAAATAATTAACGGTGATTATATCTGAATAGCAGGATTTCAGGGAATTTCTTCCTCATACTGCTCTGTATCAGAAAAGCCCAAACTTGAGGAAAAGTACGTCATGGGTAACAGTGGAGTGAGTAGAAGAGACTGGCAAATTTGAGAAAGCTGGAGTATACTTTCTCACACAGCCACACTTATAAACCATGTAAATTTTCAGTCTGGTTCAGCAAACATTCAAAGAGCACAAACCACGGGACAGATCCTCGTGAAGATGCTAGGGTACAAAATCTCACATGCATGCTCCTGGTCCACGGCATTCACTGACTAGAAGCTCTCTGGGGAGGGAGCACTATTTACACCTGCAGGAGAGGAAAAATAATTTTCCTTCTACCCTTCTGAGTTCTTGGCTGAGACCTCTGAAATAAAAGCTAGAGGAAAAAGAGAAAAACAAGTTCATTAACATGTATGTCTCATGTACACATGGGAGATACCCAGGGAAGAATGAGGAACTCGAAAGAGGTGGCTTGAAACTCTGGCTTACATAACATCCTCAACAAAGAGCAATACATTTGTGCAGAAATGACAGGACAGAGGAAAGAAAGCAGCTGTAGGCTTTCAAGGGTAGAGACAAAAGCCAGTTGGTAAAATCTGTTATGTAGATTCCTGTGGTGCCCTTTCCAGGCCGACAGGATCTAGAGTTGTCTCTGGGGATCAACCTTTTTCCTTCCTACTGCAGGGGTGGGGGCACCTTTGTAAACTTAGGTCCTGCTTTTAAGAAAATAGGGGGAGGGCAGACAGCTTTTCTGGTATCTGCTTCTTTTAGACATCTTCAGTTCACAATAATTGTTACATCAAAGCAGCATATTTTGGGATGGCATACTGCTATTCTTCATACATACCTGAACTGGTCTAATAATACCCAATATAAACTGAAATGACGAACCGGAGATAACCACAACCAGAAAGCTTAACACAGAAACAGGAAATTCTGTTAATGCAACATTTATTAATTACACACAACTCTGCTGACGAGCATGGATACATGTACACAATTATCAAAAACGGGAAAAATGAGTTCTGTGCACATTTGAAAAGCAAAATGTTTCCACACTTGCCACTACACTTATTCCCAAGTTTTATCCTACAAAATATAGCACACACACAAAAATCACAGCTTAAATATTAAGTAAAAGGCTAACACAGCTGCACATGAATAATTAAAACCCCGGGTTCCAGCCTTCTGAGAAGGCAGGCATGTGGGCACAATTTAAAGTTAACAGTATAACAGTAAAATCAAATTTTATTTGCACTGTGCTTCTGATGTTTATTTTCATGAAGTCTTTCCATAAGAATAAAGGAGAAAAGAATACAACTCTTGGGGCGCCTGGGGGGCTCAGTCGTTAAGCATCTGCCTTTGGCTCAGGTCATGATCCTGGGGTCCTGGGATTGAGCCCCGCATTGGGCTCCCTGCTCCGCGGGAAGCCTGCTTCTCCCTCTCCCACTCCCCCTGCTGGTGTTCCCTCTCTCACTGTGTCTCTCTCTGTCAAATAAATAA